CCTCCATATTGGGGCATATAACAAAATTCATTCCCCACATGGGTGGGAAAAATTAAAGGGAACATAGTGGGCTGGCGTCCCACAGCATCTGAGTACCCCCTTCACGGCCAGGGAGCCTATGGGCTTCTGGCACGTGGCTTCCCCCTCTGGAGTCCCTGGAGCAGTCCTGGTTCCCCATTAGCTCCTGATACTGGGGATGCGTCCACCGAAGGGGACCCAGCCCCGGAACTCGCAGCAGCGCTCTGGTCTGCATGCTCCGCAGGGAGGCTCTGGCACGTAAGGACCCAGGCTACAGTTGGTGGTGGACGATGTAATCGGCTCTGGAGTAGCCAGTTGTCGGAGATCATGCCAGCAGTCAGTTGGGTGGAGCTTGGAACTCCATGTCCTGGCTGCTGGCTTTGCACTGCTTCTGGGGTTGTAGCAGGGCGCTGCCCAGGATCGGGGCCCTGCCGGACAAACCTGGCACCGCAGAGCTAACAGGCACCGCCCAAGAGCAGTGTGTTTCTGCCCCCACCTTTGGGGTAGCTGCGGCTGGAGTTGCACCACGTGTGTCCTTATCCCGTGTCTGTGCATCCGTCACTCTGCCAGCCCTCCTTTCAGGCTGCCCATCGGTGTGGCGGCCGAGCGCCCTGCTAACATGCTCCATTTGTCCTCCCTGGAGCAGGGAGAGGGCCTGGAGGAAAACTCTTCCAAAACACAAAGAGAATCACTGCCCTCAAAGCCCCAGTTGAGCTCCCCAGCGTTTGGGGCCAGCTGCCGGGAGTATCCAGTGTTTAAAAACTGCCCCCGCCCAACCTCTGGAGTGGGCTGATCGACCCTAGACTCTGCATCTGCTGACCAGCCTCTGATGGCCTGTCAGGTCCCCAGTCTCTTCTGCCCAAACCCCAGCTCCCGCTGAGTCAGTGGGGCAGCACTGGGCCCCTCCTCTCTGGCATGTTCTTTCCCTGGCGCCAGGGGTCTTTCGGGCGCTGTGGCCTGGCTCTGTTGTCCCACCTGTTGCTCTGGGCTGTGCGCCCCTCCAGTGGCTCTCTGAAGGCCTTCGCCAGCCGCTCCCGGGCAGGACACCTTCCCAGCCTACCCAGTGAATTAGGTTAAAGGGATCAGGATGTGTCTGGGTTCTATTCCCAGCTCTGCTACTGAACCCCTGGGCAAGTCGCTGTCCCATCCTGTGCCTCAGTTTCCCCATGGGGATAATGATTTTGATCTACTTGGAGGGCGTGTTCGGGCCCTGGAGTTAGCGCTACAATGGGGCGAGCTGCGCTTATTTCCTGACCTAGCTCCTGGGCAGGTGCCCAGGCCAAGCTGCGAGGAGCCCCATCTGTTGTATGCCCCGTAAGGCCAGGTGAGGGGGCTCTAGGCTTGGGCTTCATGCACAGTGAGGGGGGAGCAGAGGAGTCTGGGAGGAGAGTGAGGGGGCATTGGGGGGAGGGGAAGCAGAGGGGGCTGGGAGGGGAGTGAGGAGGTATTGGGGGGGAGGGGAAGCGAGAGGGGAGTGGAGGGGGTATTGGGGGGGAGGGAAGCAGA